CGCAGCGGAAATTTCGGCAGAGTTTCTGGTGCACAATAAGAGAGAAAGATCGATAAGAATTCCCGTCTCACCAAGGAGACAAGAATCTGAAGCGGATATCTCAACCAAGTGAGATATCGGCTCTTCCTCTCATCAGTTCTAGGACTGACCTGTCGAGGGATCCTAAAAGCTATTACAATGGCCACAAACTCAAACAACTAATTTTACGTGGTTCGGCAAACTGCCTACGTCCACGGGGCAAGGAGGGGGAGATCTACTATTAGAGAGGAAAAGAATACAAATAGGTTTACAATCTCACAAAATAAACCCTCAAACTAACTCTCTAATCTCTCTCAAAAGCCGCTTGAGAACCCTCTGTTTCTGCACCTTTGCTGCTTGCACACGCCTCCAAGCCAAGCTCTCTGCCTTCGTACCTGCTCTCTGCAGTCGCACAAATCAGTCTCTTGCTTGCACTTTGATCTTCGTAGCCGCCAGCCAAAGAGAGAATCCTTCCTTGCACAGCCGCACAAAATTTCTCCTCCCCTGGTACTTGCTCCCAACGCACAAAACCCTAGGCGTTCCTATTTATAGCCTAGCGGGTAAAGTGATACAAAATCCGAGCCTCTTCTTTTGTCCAATGGATTCGGCACCCTCCCACGCGGTTTCCTCTCTACTCACGCGCTTTGTGGTCCCCACGCAACTCTTCCTTTCACGCACTTCACATGAATTCTTCATGTAGCTGTTGTTTGCTCAACTTTGTAGCCCCCACGTGTCCTGCTGGCCATTATCCTTTCACACGTGTTCACATAAAATAACCACAATCAAGAAGAAATAACACCGAGATTTATGTGGTTCAGTCAACCAACTTTGACCTACATGCACGAGCAACAATACAAGAAATCCACTACGTATCAGGGAGAACTACAAGAGGAACCACTCAACTCTCATCTCTCAATCTCACATACATACAACTCTCATATTATCTCCAAAGCCCTCTCCTTACAATATTTTGAACGGACAAAGACTGCGAAACTCTCTCCCAATGATGTAATCTTTTGCACAGACAAAGACTATGAAACTCTCGCCTCTCGCACAATATTCTTGAATCGGGTTACGTCCTCTGCTAACCCTAAATTACAAGAATATTGGCTCTCTCTCATCTGCTTAGTTTTTCCTTCAACAATACAAGAATATATATAGGGAAACCAAAACTTTATCTGTAGCCTAACTTCCTAACTAGAATAGGATTCAAATTCCTAATCATGATGAGACTAAATCTCCTAATCATGATAGATCTCCAACCCTATCTAATTCTCATGAAGTTATACAAAGAATCAAAGACACAATCCCAACATATATCACTTAGGGTATTTAAATGTATAAAGTTGGTGGAATAATAGCGTATTCAAGATGAAACAATTTTCGGTTCTTTTTATCCTCATGCGTCAATGCGGAAGTATTCCTATTTTTACAACTTCAAAATTTTAATGTAGTAGCAGGTTTTTAAGAATTTTTGTATTTATTAATTTTAATTATTAATACTAGACTATACATTGCAATTCGGAATCTCCATTATAATGTCAAAGTTCTGGTTCATTGATAGGATCTTTATGATGTATTAGAACCCTGTGCATAATCATCAAAAAGGAACAAACAAATGAAAATGGCTACAAAAATCTCACACCTTTTTCCTGTTAAAATGAGAACAACAAAGTGAAAAAATTGTGCAGAGTAATCATTGGGGGGATTATGGGAAGCCCATAATCAACAGCCTGTAGGAATCAAGGGAAGATGATGGCGAATCAGAGGGTTTCAGATAAGTCCAAACACCCCATGTGATATTTTTCCTGCTGATCAATGCACTAACCACAGCTCCATCCACATTCCCTCAAATCTCAATCCCTGTGTAACAGTGTCATCTTTTGTCTGTTTCCTTCCTTCTTACTTTTCTGTTAAAAGGGTTACATCAAAATCATAAATTATGGTGAATCATGAAAATTATATATTATAGTTTTACTAGAACATCGGCTCGTTCAAATGCAAGCGCAAGTAGCATTAAACTTCTATCCAGGGCCGGTCCTGAGGTTTGGGTTGCCCTAGCCCCAGCCCGGCCTTGGGTCGGCCCTGAGTTGCCCCACGATGACCTTCACTCCACGACGACCTCCCCTCCTTCAACTCCTCCCCCTTGAGTTGCCCCACGAGTCTACAAACTAATTACTTTGGCACTAATGACCATAATAATAATTTAACAATGCATCTCTTTTTGAAATTTGGGATTGAAAGTCTCAAAAGTTACACTGAAAGAAAATAATAAGTTTACTTTAAGAATTGTATTACTCTTGTATTACTGGATATATATTGAGCTTCATCAATTCATAATTTCTCTTTTCATTACAAGAAAATATCTATTTTTTAAGTACTACATAAGTTATCAGTGCTCATACTGAAAAGAAAATTACCAGCACAAAATAAATCCTAGAAGATTACCAACAACTAGTGGATGATTTCAGAAAAATAAAATCGACCCTTTTCTTCAACTTATATCCTTCGGCTAAAAGAAACGAAAAGAGACCATTTTGCTAAAAAGCCAAAAAAGATTATCCTTTTTCCTGAAAGTTGCATTTTTCTTGTGAATAGCAATGAACATTTGTTGGATATATCTTTAAAATAATAATAATAAGTATAATCAATTTAAGCTAGAAGGGAGAAAAAAGAGAAAACTTACAAGAAGAACAAATAGAAATAAGTCTAAGAACTACAAAGACAAATAGCTACACAAAATCAAACTAAAATACATAGAAATTTTTAAACCTTTTTTTGGTTCCATTTACTCGTTTTCTTTTCCTTGTTTACATGAACCAAAAAAAGTCTACACTTGCCCAGAAAATTTCCCAGAGGGAAAAAAATATCATACAAAGCAGGAGAGGATTAAAAAAAACAAGCAGCAAAATAAAGAACTAACCTTTACTTTTTTAATCTAATTTTCTAATTGTTCATCCCAAATACCCAACTCACAAACCTCCTAACCGAGCTCTTCCCCTCTTCATCCTCCTCCTCCTCATCATCCCCATCATCACCATCATACCCACCATCATCATCACCACCACCACCATCATCACTACCGACATGCCCATACCCATCATCCCTCCTTCGACTCCTCCCCCTTTGGTTGCCCCTCTAGCTCTGGGTTGCCCCAGCCCCGGCCCGGGGCTTGGTGGGCTTACCCCAGGGCCGGCCCTGCTTCTATCTAAATAATTCTGAGTCATGTGCATGGTAATTATATTATAATTATTTAATATATATTTATAGTATTTCTAGTAAAAATGCATAAGCATAACGCATGTGATCAAAATAATAAGACTTCATTAAAAAAGTATGTATACCTTTTATGCATCTGAAAATTTATTAATGTATCCTTCATTTTAGTAAGAGGAATGAAATTGAGCTTAAAGTTCGTATAATAGTTTACTGATCATCATTTACGATCTGCCACTACCTAGCTTACATTTTGTTGCATTTTGATTTTTTTAAATTATATAATCTTAAAAAATATCATGTATGAAATTTTAAATTTGAGAAGGAGATGAAGAAACTATATATATATATATATATATATGAAGATTGATACTTCTAATTGACTTGAAAGACTTATTCTTGTATAGCCTTGAAGGTCCCAGCTCCTTGCTGTCTAAGGAATAAGAGTTCTAATAGGAATATAAGTCCACATGTTCTAAAACCCAACAAGAGTTCAAGTAGGAATAAACCTTTAATATGATTGGTTGTGTAAAGTCTAATGTAAGTAGGACTTTTGATCAAAACAAACCAAGCTAAAAAAAGGAACTCCTAAAACAATATGGATTTGAGTATTTGAAGTAACCTATATCAAGAGAGATAAAATTTAAACTTAAAATAGAGAAGGAGGATTTGGAATTTAGAAGTAATGGGACCTTCTAGAGAAGGTGAATGAGGGAGAAAGAGATGGAAACCCACATCACTAACATATTGATAAATGACCGAAGGGGAAGGAGGGAAGAAGCGATAGAAACCCACAACAATAACATATTGACAACTGACCAAATTGTCATCATCCTTTACAAAAATTACCCTCTATTCTTTGATAAATTGAATGAATAATTACTCATTCCTTCACTTTTGTCTATCCTCACAATGTTTATTGTAGAGTAGTATAGATATTGTAATATGTTTATTCAGATTGAGAGTCCTTTATATGGGTTTATTTGGCAATTGGATCACTAATCAAGAACTAGCATAATCCATATAGACTAGTCCTACACAAGGAGGTTGGAATATGTCAAAAGGACTTTTGAGTCTTTGACGGTTAAGCATTACTCTCCTCGCCACTAGCATCGCAACCACTTTTGCCGTGTTACATGAATTACCCTTGCAATGTTTATAAAATTCTGAATTTTATAGTGAAGGTTGAGTGTCATAATCTCATAACTTACCGGTGCTCCCATAGATTGAGGCCTCTTTTAGTAGGAAATTTGGACTCACCAAGCGGTATCAATTTTTTTATATATCTTCTTAAAAATTTATAGCCAATGAGATTCACACGTAGGTGCTCTATTACCATGTTAATATATCCTGCAATTGCATCAAAATTCTGAAGTTATGGTGAAGATTATTGGTTATAATTTTGTATTCTAACAGAATAATTCTAGCCTTTTTATTGGCAAAAACAATTTGGTGGAACAAAATTGAAAATTGATTGGCTCCCAATTAAGTTATTTGTCAAACTAGGATTAATCATGATTTGGGGAAGAAAAATCCTAGTTCATGATGAAGTTTTTCGTCACATTAGTTCCAAGTTACGACGAAGACTTGCGTAGTACGTGTGCTTTCTAGGTTAGGCATTAGAAACTCCCTGAAATTTGAGGATTTTTGCACAAAACCCCTTCTTAACTTTACAAATCCTGGAAAACTCCCTCGATCTTAAAAAAAAAAATTTATCCTAAATATCTCTTGAGAGTAGCTGCCATAAGCGATTATAAAACAGACAACATGAGCGCCAGGCATCTCAGCGTTCATCATTACAGTATCTAACACAAAATCTACAGCACTCGATCGAACATCCTCTCGCTACCTTTTCCAAGTCCTAGCTCCCACGATTCCGACTCTACAATCTCTTCTCGATCCCAAAATGTGGGAATCTGAGACCAAGCGCTACCCTCGGGGCTCCTTCGACCTCGACAGCCAAGACGCCATGAAGACTGATGGCTTTGAGCGCAGAGGACAATGCTGGTATATCTTAGAGATTTCTCACCCCAACCGCTCTTCAACCCTAAAACTTTCATTATTTGCTCAAGCATAATTCGTGATAATTGAATTTAGGTATGTCACATCAGTGATATCCAAGTGATTTGCTAGTTAAAGTTGGAGACTCCATATTCGCATCTCCACAGGGTTAGTTATCTACTTCCGCATATTTTTTAGCTTGCTTTCTTTTTTTTTTTTATTTTTTACTAGTTATAGTGTCTCAATTTTATGTTTTATATTGTAGTACCCTCTACTTGCTAGAAGTGGGAAATTGAACAGAATAGTATATGAGTCGTCATCGGACCCGAGCCTGGTCGAGCTCGACGAACTCCCTGGCGGGCCCGATTCGTTTGAGCTCGCCGCAAAATTCTGCTACGGCATCGCGGTTGACTTAACCTCATCGAACATCTCCGGCCTCCGGTGCGCCGCCGAGTACTTAGAAATGACTGAAGACTTAGAAGAAGGCAACCTCATATTCAAAACAGAGGCTTTTCTCAGTTACGTAGTCCTCTCTAGTTGGCGTGACTCAATTGTGGTGCTAAAAAGTTGCGAAAACCTCTCCCCTTGGGCTGAAAACCTCCAAATTGTGAGGAGGTGTAGTGAGTCTATAGCATGGAAGGCTTGTGCTAACCTGAGATCGATCCGTTGGGCTTACACGGGTCGATCCGATAGCCCGAAATGGAGCAGCAACGGGTCGAAGGAATCGAGCCCAAGTCGCAACACGTTAGCCCCCCCTGACTGGTGGTTCGAAGATGTTTCGTTGCTCAGGATCGATCACTTCGTTAGAGTTGTTACTGCGATTAAAGTGAAGGGAATGCGTTTCGATCTAATTGGAGCTTCGATTGTACACTATGCGTCGAAATGGCTGCCGGGTTTGGGTAAAGAGATCATAAACCCAAATGCAGAGGAGAATTGTAACCAACCTGGGCTGCATTTGATTGTTAGCGGTAGTCTAAACAAGGACGAGCTAACGAGTTCTCAAGTTAGAGAGCAGAGAATGGTGATCGAGAGCTTGATTAGTATAATCCCCCCTCAAAAGGATTGTGTACCATGTAGCTTTTTACTGAGATTATTGAAGCTAGCAAATATGTTGAATGTTGCACCCGCATTGGTGACCGAACTGGAGAAAAGAGTAGGGATGCAATTAGAACAAGCGAGTTTAAGTGATTTATTGATTCCCAGTTACAATAAGAGCGAGACTTTGCATGATGTTGATATGGTTCAGAGAATTGTGGAGCATTTCTTAGTGCAAGAACATACCGAGTGTTCGAGTCCAGGGAGAGATGCTTTTGGGGACAATACTAGTAAGTATGAGAGAGGAGGGGTAAATGCAAAAATTAGAGTTGCGAGGTTGTTGGATAGTTATCTAACTGAGGTTTCCAGAGATAGAAATCTTTCGCTTACAAAGTTTCAGGTTTTGGCTGAGGCTTTACCGGAGTCTGCTAGGAGTTGTGATGATGGGCTGTATCGAGCTGTGGATTCTTATCTCAAGGTACTAATTTTCGAACTTCTATACTTGTTATATATTTCATTACAAAGTTCCAATTTTGGTAGATAAATGTGTATACCATCTGATATTTTAATGAATTGTGTTGAGTATGAATAAACTTGTTCTCAAAGCTTAGTTTATGTTGGAGGTTTTGGGGAGAGAATGATTTTCAAGATTTGTATTGGGTTTGAAACTGACAAATTATTGTATATTGAGTCTCTCATAAAATTGACGTTCGTACAAATAGCGCAGCCTTGGATTCTTACACTGAAATGGACCCACTTTTGTTTGTGTCGGAGTTTTGAACTTACACTCGAGATTTATTTTAGCGATAGACCCCTAAGTGGAATTTCTTGACTCTTTTAGAGAGAGAGAGAGAGAGAGAGAGAGAGAAATTGCTTTCTGACAAGGGTTAATTGCAGTGGATAGACCTGTCCTATGGCCAAATTGAACTATCTATCTATCTATGTAGTCCTATTACCGACAGATAGATCCCTTTAACAAGTTCTATTATTGCAGATAAACCCCTTAAGTGAAAATCTATTGTTGCAGATAGGTCAAAAATCTATTATTACAGAACTTATGGGTAGTAACTTCAACTTGATAGTCGTACAAAGGTCTGTCTGCAATTCACCCTTTTTACAAACAAACCCCCTGAGGGTAAAAGAGCAAAAGAATTCAGCTTATAGAATCTTCCTCCAAACATAAAACTAGAGGGACAGTAAGTTCGAAGGAACGATGCTGAGATGCTGCAGGAGGTCTGTATCAGCACCTGTATCACACATTCTCCATTTACCCCCTATTAACTTTTGAACCATTGATCAACAGGCACACCCAACACTGACAGAGCACGAGCGCAAGCGCCTGTGCCGCGTTATGGACTGCCAGAAACTCTCCATCGACGCCTGCATGCACGCAGCCCAGAACGAGCGCCTCCCCCTCAGAATCGTAGTCCAGGTCCTCTTCTCCGAACAAGTCAAGATCAGCAACGCCATCGCCAACTCCTCCCTCAAAGAACCAGGCGGCGTCGACCACCTCTACCAGCCCATTGTCTCCACCCGAAAGCAGCTCCTCGAAGGAACTCCTCAGTCCTTTCAAGATGGCTGGGCAACTGCCAAGAAAGACATCAACACTCTTAAGTTTGAACTGGAAAGTATGAAGGCTAAGTATTTGGAACTTCAGAATGATATGGATAATTTGCAGAGGCAGTTCGAAAAGATGTCTTCTTCTTCTTCTTCGTCCAAGAGTGTTAATAATAAGCAGAGCTCCTCAGCTTGGAGTAGCGGATGGAAGAAGCTGAGTAAGTTGACGAAAATGGCGGGAACGGAGGGGCATGAGACCGGGGAGCAGCAGGTTTTGGCGGGAGGAGGAGGGGAGAGGAAGGGGCCGAGGAGGTGGAGGAATTCGATTTCTTGAGAGTCACCCGGGAATTTGGAAGTGAGAATGGAGGTTTGAATTTGTTCTTTGTTCTTCTAGTTTCATTATCCCTCCTCTTCTCTGTGTTTGCACTTTGAAGGGAAGCATGTTTGTTGCAAGGGGTGGTTATATAATTAAAGCTCGTGAAGTAGGATTCCGAAATAAAGTTTGTTTGTTGTTAACTGTGGGTGTGTTTTTGAATGTACTACTGTTCTATTAATTGTGCTAAGTGTTTAGTTGTTTGATTGGGAAAGTGTATGTATGCCATAAAAGAATTAAGAGCTTAGTTTATTTATTTCTTTTTTATTTTCTTGTTTGCAAAGACGAAATATGACCCATTTTACTGGGATTCCATCTCTTGCACACATGTACACATGGTCTTCGGCATTTTATAGTAAAAAATTATAACATTTAACTCTCACAACAACTATGAAGTTTTGACTTAGTTTCAAGAACATTTGGCCAAGCTAGTATCAAAATTTTCTTTAATAAGACATTTTATACTGAGATGAGCTTGTAATTATACCTTTACATGGACAAATGCATAAAGCCACCAAAATAACCCCAACATCAAAATAAAGCCGCCAAAATAACCCTAGCATCAAAATAAAGCTGCCCAAAGTAACTCGGCGCCAACAGAAAACTATCTGATTCGATAAAACCCTCCGCTTAACCCCCATTCTCTCGAAATCCCATATGGGAATGGGAGCTCTTCGATCATCTCCCCTCGCTCGCTCTCCTCTTCTCGACTTCTCCCCATCTCAGACCCTGTTCATCTTCGGCGACGGCCAGCGATGATTCACCACTCAGAGGAGCACAGGGGGAAGGAGGAGCCGAATTCATCGAACCAAGAAGCTGGACTCGTGACTTCGATGATCGGTGGACTTCAATGCCTGCTATCTTGATGTCAATCGCCAATGCTGAGCACACCGATTATGGGTATGCAATTTGGGAATCGAGTCAGGTAGGTCAGGTATTATTGTTGTCCATTGATTCTTAAATAATGTTAGAGGCACACCGCCCACCACAACCCCAACCACACCCCCCTCATTGCTACAGTAAACCGGGCCCCACATGGGATTTTAAAAAATTTAAAATCCCATGTGGGGCCCGGTTGTGTGGTTGGGGTTGTGGTGGGTGGTGTGCCCCTAACACCACTCTTGATTCTTTTTACTTTGGGGTTTTTAGGTATCAGTGCATTAAATCATACCTATTTTGTCCCCCAAATCTTTATATTTTGATATTAGTCCATCAAATTGCTTTAGGGGGTGTTTGGTTCAATTTCTAGAAATTATTGGAAATGTTTTCCACCAAAAATATGATTTCCTTGTATTTCTTAAAAAAATTATAAGAAAAGTTTTGAGAAATCAAAAAGTACCAATTTTCTTGTTTTTTGTACTTTGCTTGTTTGGTTCAAAACAAGAAAATAGCTCATAACTTTATAGAAAATAACAAGATTTGGTAGGTTTTTAATTAAATATGGTATGTGTCAGATTTCTGGTGATTTCCTCTCATTTTGAGAGAAAATTGCTTTTTGTAAAATTTGGTAGGTTTTGATATTTTTTCTCTTTTACCCAATCGTAGACACTATTTGTTGTTGATGTCAGTTATTAAACATGAGGTTTATCCATGAGTTGTGAGAATGTTTAAGGTCCTCAAACTCCTTCAAATGAGTGGTTTCACAGTCCGTTGTTCTTCTCTACACATAAAAAAACTCGTAAAATGGTGGAGTTGGGTATTGTTCCTCCGATGATTAAGTCAGTATTTTATACATGTTAACACACTCAAATATAATTATTTAAAATTATAATTAGACATAATTTTCTGCGACTCCATATTGTATCCACGTCCTAGTCATCAGAAGTTACTGCATCATCATGTCCATATCCTAATTCTTCAAGTACCGTGATCTCAAAGGCACTTAGAGACTACTGCCTTCACAAGAAATGACCTCATTTTGTTTTCTCTTGTATTGCTTAATTTACATGTTCAACTTGTATAGGCCTATAGCTTGTTACGTGATGACATATTTAGGGCATCTCCAACAGCATCTTCAAAATTTTCTCTAAAATGAGGAAGCAAAAGTCATATTCTCCAACTAATTTTTACACCAACTCCAACAGCTTCCCCATTTTGAAGAATCCATTTTTTTCCTCCAAAAATTTGGAGAATGCTGCAGATTTGGGGAAGCTTCCCCATTTTTTCTCCTCCATCCCTATTTTGGGGAATGAGATGAGGAATCTGTTGGATCAAAAACCTAACTAAATTCTCCAAAAGTGGGAAATGGGGAAGCTGTTGGAGATGCTCTTTCACATATCATCTCTAATAAATCTCATCCGTTGGCTCAAATTTCACGGTTGTAAAGAAAGACTCAAGCGATTCATCTTAGTGTGGAATGGTTTCCATTACTTACGCAAGTCTTATATTAGTTACAACTTGCTCGAGAATTATAATTAAGGACTCAGATTGGTCTAATCCATAGTCATCACTATCAGAGAAAGAAATATGGCCTGAACGCTGACTAATTCTATGATTAATGCATAATTATTAGGTTACAAGAGAAGGATATATATACATAATTCAACTCCTTAAAGTTAGGACTAAATAAAGCAACAAAATAACAACCACCTAATTCATGAAACTATAATCCCTGAAAATAAGGAATCAGCAACTATACATAAATATATGCGCCTAAGTAGGCTCTAACCGATCCTTATAATTCTACACTCCCCCTCAAGCTGGGTTATACGTGTCATACATGCCTAGCTTGTGACTTAGTTCGGTAAAGCTAATTCTTGGAAGGGCCTTAGTCAAGATGTCTGCAGTTTGCTGTCGTGTGGGAACATAGGCAAGCCGAATAGTGTTGTTTTCTATCTTTTTAGAGATGAAGTGCCAGTCAATTTCAATATGTTTTGTCCTGTCTTGGTGCAATGAGTTCTTTGCTATGCTGATGGTAGCTTGATCGTCGCACATAACCTGTATAGGTTTTTCCAGTGGTATCTTGAGTTCACTTAGGAGTCTTCGGATCCACATTCCCTCGCAAATTCCCGGTGCTAGTGATCTGAGTTTTACTTCAACACTGCTTCTTGACACTACAACTTGCTTCTTGCTTCTCCATGTAACAAGGTTTCCCCAGACATAATGTTCCCAGCCCAGTCAGCATCTGTAAAGATTTTGACCTCCCTTTGATTGTTACTTTTGAAGAGAAGTCCTTGTCTAGGAGATGATTTCAGATACCTTAAGATTCGGAGTAGGGCTTCCATATGCTCTTTTGTGGGATTATTCATGAATTGACTAACCATGCTTACTGAGAAGGCTATGTCTGTTCGGGTATGAGAGAGGTAGATGAGTCGTCCAACAAGTCATTGATATCTCTCCTTTTCGACTGGAGAAGAGTCTGATTCACTGCCTATCTTTTTAGTGGAGTCCATAGGAGCGTCAATAGGTTCACATCCAAGCATGCCAATTTCTTTGAGAAGGTCCAAAGTATACTTTCGTTGAGTGATCAAAATTCCCTTATATGACCTAGCCACCTCCATTCCGAGAAAGTACCTGAGTGGTCTGAGATCTTGAATTTCGAATTCTTCAGCAAGCTGAGTCTTTAGTCTCACAAGTTCTTCATTGTAGTCCCCGGTTAGAATGATAACATCGATATAAACGATTAAAACAACAATCCTATTATTCATAGAGTACTTTACAAATAGAATGTGATCAGACTGACATTGAGAATACATTGGGAGACAACTGATTTTGCAAACCTGTCAAACCAAGTACAGGGTGATTGCTTTAAACTGTAGAGAGATTTATGGAGTTTGCATACCATATGGCGGTTGGAATGAGTTTCTAGACCAGGAGGAATTTCCATATAAACTTCTTCTTCTAAGTCTCCATTCAGGAATGCGTTCTTGACATCTAGCTGATGAAGGGGCTAGTCTAGGTTAGCTGCAATGGATAGTAAGACTCTGATGATGTTGAATTTGGCCACATGGGCGAATGTCTCCTGGTAATCGATCCTATAGGACTGTGTAAATCCCTTGGCCACGAGGCGAGCTTCGAATCTCTCTATACTGCCATCTACTTTATGTTTTACTGTGAATAACCATTTACAACCGACATGCTTCATGTCATATTTTTCTCAAGGGCATTAACTTCATCAAAAACAACTTGTTTCCATGCTGGGTTTTTGAGAGCTTCATGGATGGTCTTAGAAATTTGGATTTCATCAAGGGCCGAGGCAAATGCTTTGTAGGAAGGAGATAACCTGGAATAGGAGACAACTTTGCAGATAGGGTGAGTAGTACATGTTCTGATTCCTTTTCATATGGCAATTAGGACATCAGAATCATCTATCATAGGATCAATAGTAAGATGTTCGGATGCCTTTATACCTGGTGTTTGTTCCGGGGCAATAGTACTTGGTTCGGATTCTTGGACAATTGCTGGAGTTGTTGAGGGCTCTATGTACTTATTGGTGTTTCTTCTCCTATTGTAGACATGGAGCTCTTTGTGTGCAGATTGAGAGTTTGTGTTTGGATTCTTTTGAGTGATTGAGCTGGTGTCGGCTTGAGTTTGCCGAGGAGAGGAGACATGTATGTCAGGGGATTTTTCTACATTTTCAAGAGTGGGGTTTTCAGCATTGGTATAAGGAGTGGGCCCGAGAGGTTGGGAAGTATCCCAAGTATCCCAAAACTGACATTCTCTCATTGACTCCCCCTGAATTTCAGATTTGGGATAGTGAGGTGTGTTTTCGAAGAAGGTTACATCCATAGTGTTGTAGATTTTCCTGGTTATCGGAGAGTAATATTTATACCCTTTTGAAAAGAAGAGTAACCTATGAAGATGCACTTGATGGATCTTGGATCAAGTTTGCTGTGATGATGAGGATATATATGAATAAATGCAGTACAACCGAAAATTTTAGGAGGCAGATCAGAGGTGATGAATTTTGAGTGAGGAAAGTGTTCTATGAGAGAATTCCGAGGTGTTTGGAATTTTAGGACACCACTAGGAAGTCTATTGATGAGATATGTGTCAGTCTTTCGGCAATTCCGTTTTGCTGTGGAGTATCGACACACGAGCTGAGGTGAATTATACCTTGTTTGGATAGATATGTATCAAGGTGAGAGTCAAAGTATTCTTTGGCATTGTCTGTTTTTAGAATCTGAACCTTGGTTTGGAATTGTGTTTGAACCATTGAGTTGAAAGTTTGGAATATTTCCCCAACATCAGATTTGTTTTTCATGAGAAATACCCAAGACAACCGAGTATGATCGTCTATGAATGATACAAACCAACGGTTCCCTCTTAG